GGTTTCCAGCCAAACAAAATACAGGCATGTAAGTTAAACATTTACCTCAAGTAGTTACACGCCTTGGAGAGAACAATCATGGGAGAAAGAAGGGCTGCTTATGCACAGGGAGACAGCTCAGGGGGCAGGAGTGTATGGAGGGATGGACACTGGGAAGAGGTAACTATCGGGAGGAAGTGGGAGGGGAGCTGTTGCATTGTGGTAAACTGTGGTCAATGACATGAGACAAAGTGTATGTGAATTTGCTCTGTAAATCTTCACCCAAATCACAATTAAAAAAAAAAAAGCCTTTCTCTGTAAAGCTGAAGGAAAAGGGGGGAACAGAACACATCTTCCCAGATCCCCTGGGTAATCTCTTGTGACCAAGAAGATTCTTTGATAACTTTGACTTCATCCAGCAATCAAAATACTTCATTGTAAAAGCCTGAAGGTGATAACAACAAAGTATGATGAAATCCTTATCCAAGAAGTATTATGAATTGTTTTCCCCTAAAATATATAAGGAGCTCTGGTGGTGTAGTGCCTAAGGCATTTGACTGCTAACCAGAAGGCTGGCAGTTCAAAACCACCAGCCACTCCACAGAAGGAAGACTGGGCAATCTACTTCTGTAAAGATTTAGCGCCTCAGAAACCCAAAGAGGGTCGCTATGAGTTGGAATCAACTCGATGGCCAAAAGATATGTTGAGAGTCTTGACTCCTATACTTGTGGATGTAATCCTATTTGGCAATAGGATTTTCTTTGTTATGTCAATGAGGCCACTATCAGTGCAGGGTGTTTTCTAAACCTAATCACTTTTTTTTTGGAACAACATGATAAACATATTTAATGTCACTAAACTGTACACGTGAAGATGGTTGAAATGACAAATGTTTTGTTACCTATATATGTACCATAATAATAAAAAAAAGTATTGACTTTTTTTTTCACATTTTGTATTGTGCTTTAGGTGAAGGTTTACAGAGCAAATTGTTTCCCATTCAATAATTTGTACATAAAGTGTCCCATGACATCGACTGCATTCTCCACAATGTGTCAACACTCTTCCTATTTCTGCCCTGGTTTCCCTGTTTCCCTTCCTCTGGATTTTTCCATTCCTTCTCAGCGTATCCTTCACTGTTGGGCAAATGTTGTCCCTTTGATCTCACAATTGTTTTGAGGAATACATTCCTCCCTCTCAGGTGTTACTGTTTATTTTATGGGTCTGTCTATTGTTTGGCTAAAAGGTAGTCTCCAGGAATGGCTTCAGATCCAGGTTAGAAGGATGTCTTAGGGCCACCGTCTCAGTAGTTCCTCCACTCTGTCAGATCACTGTCTTGTTTTTTCCTGTGTGAATTTGAATTTTTGTTCTACATTTTTCTCCTGTTCGAGTCTATGGAACTTCATCTTTGATCCTGCAAGGTATTTGGTCATATCTGAGAAGTTTCCATGAATGGGTCCCTGTGTGCTCTATTGTCTATATTAATATGTATACAGCACCAAAATTATGTATTTGGAAATAAGGTTTTCTTTGTTATGTTAATGAGATGAATGAGTGCAGGATGTGTCCTAAACCTAATCACTTTTGAGTGTTATAAAGAGTAGCACAGACATACAGACAAGCAAACACAAAGTGGGAAGAGATATGCCACGTGAACATCACTAAGGAACCATGAAACCCCAGGGCTACAGAAAGTGAAAGAAACAAAGATCTTCCTCCAGAGCTGACAAGAGAAAGAGCCTTCCAGAGCTGGTGCCCTGAACTCAGACTTCTATCGAGCCTCCTGTCGATACACTGCTGCAGCTGTTTTTGAATTATCTTCAGGAAAATTTTACTTGTGTGTGATATTAATGATATTGTTAGGTAATGTCCACATTCTATTCGGTCATCTTTCTTTGGAATGGGTATATCGACAGAGAATTGACAGAAATTCAAGTTGGATTCAGAAGAGGACATGGAATGAGGGATATCATTGCTGATGTCAGAGGAATCTTGGCTGAAAGGGGAAAATACCAGAAAGATGTTTATGAGGGTTTTATTGACTGTGCAAAGGCATTCGACTGTGTGGATCATAACAAATTATGGATAACACCACAAATAATGGGATTTCCAGAACACTTCATTGTGCTCATGAGGAACCTGTAGACAGACCAAGAAGCAGTCATTCGAACAGAACAAGAGGACATTTCATGATTTAAAATCAGGAAAGGTGTGTGTCAGGCCTGTATCCTTTCACCACACTTATTCTATCTGTACGCTGACCAAATAATCCAAGAAGATAAACTATATGAAGAAGAACATGGCATCAGGATTGGAGGAAAACTCATTAACAACCTGTGTGCAGATGACACAATCTTGCTTGCTGAAAGTGAAGAAGACTTGAAGCACTTACTGATGAAGATCAAAGACGACAGTCTTCAGCATGGATTATACCTCAGTATAAAGAAAATGAAAATCCTTGCAACTGGACCAATAAGCAACATCATGGTAAATGGAGAAAAGATTGAAGTTGTCAAGAATTTCATTTTACTTGCATCTATAATCAATACCCATGGAAGCAGCAGTCAAGAAATCAAAGGCCATATTGCATCAGGCAAATCTGCTGCAAAAGACCTTTTTAAATTGTTTAAGAGCAAAGATATGCCTTTGAAGATCAATGTTCATCTGACCCAAGCCATAGTATTTTCAATAGTTTCAAATGCATGTGAGAGCTGGATAATGAATAAGGAAGACTTTAGAAGAACCAGTGCATCTTAATTGTGGTGTTGGTAAAGAATATTGAATGTACTGTGGACTACTAGAAGAATGAACAAATCTGTCTTGGAGGAAGGATAGCCAGAACGCTCCTTAGAAGTGAGAATAGGCAGACTTCATCTCACTTACATTGGTCATATTGTCAGAAAGGACCAGTCCCCGGAGAAGGATATCATGCTTGGTAGAGGGTCAATGAAAAAGGGAAAGACCCTGGAACAAGATGGATTGACATAGTAGTGGCTGCAACAATGGATTCAAGCATGGCAATGACTGTGAGGCTGGCATGGTACTGGTGGTATTTCATTCTGTTGTACACAGAGTCGCTATGAGTCAGAACCAACTTAATAGCACTTAACAACAAGAACATCTAGCCTCCTAAACTACAAGAAAATACATTTTTGTTCTTTAAAGCCACTGACTTAATAGTATTTCTGTTACAGCAGCATTCAGAAAGTAAGAGAAGGAGTTTTCAAATAGATCCAAGACATGACCTCAACACCTTGTAGTATCTTCAAGTCTGCTAAATATTTTCCCCTTGGAAGATGCTCCTCATGTCTCTCCCTAAAAAATTTCAACTGCACTTTTCCAAAGGTGGAACGAGGGATATCATTGCTGATATCAGATGGCTCTTAGCTGAAAGCAAAGAATACCAGAAAGATGTTTACTTATGTTTTATTGACTATGCAAAAGTATTCAATTGTGTGGATCATAACAAATTATGGATAACATTGAGAAGAATGGGAATTCCAGAACACTTGATTGTACTCATGAGGAACCTGTACATAGATCAGGAGGCTGTGGTTTGAATAGAACAAGGGGATAATGCATGGTTCACAATCAAGAAGGGAGTGTGTCAGGGTTGTATCCTTTCACCATACTTATTTAATTTGTATGCTGAGCAAATACTCTGAGAAGCTGGGTTATATGGCATCAGGATTGGAGGAAGACTCATTAACAATGTGCAATACACAGATGACACAACTTTGTTTGCTGAAAGTGAGTATGACTTGAAGCACTTACTGATGAAGATTAAAGACTACAGTCTTCAGTATGGATTACACCTTAATATAAAGAAAATAAAAATCCTCACAACTGGTTCAATAAACAGCTTCACGATAAATGGAGAAAAGATTGAAGTTGTCAAGGACTTCATCTTACTTGGTTCTACAATCAGCACCAATGGAAGCAGCAGTCAAAATATCAGACAATGTACTGCATTGGGCAAATCTGCAAAAGACCTCTTTGAAGCGATGAAGAGCAAAGATGTCTCCTTGAAGACTAAGGTGTGCCTAACTTAAGCCATAGTATTTTCAATCACCTCTTATGCACGTGAGACCTAGACAATCAATAAGGAAGACTGAAGAAGAGTTGATGCTTTTGAGTTGTGGTGTTGGAGCAAAATGCTAAGGGCATCATGATTTGCTAAAAGAACTAACAAATCTATCCTGGAAAAAGTGCAGCCAGAATGCTCCTTGGAAGCAAGAATGGCCAGACTTCGTCTCACCTACTTTGGTCATGTTGTCAAATGGAACCACTCCCTGGAAAAGGATATCATGCTTGGTAAAGTGGAGGGTCAATGGAGAAGGAGAAGACCCTCAATGAGATGGAATGACACAGTGGCTGCAATGATGGGCTCAGGTATACCAAGGATCATGAGCCTGTCATAGGACCAGGGCAGTGTTTCCTTCTGCTGTGCATAGGGCACTATGAGTCAGAGACAACTCGACAGCACTTAACAACATTTCCAAACCAGTGATATTAGGGTTGGTAAAGGAACAACCTTACCTGATTACCAGATTAAGTATCCTAGCTCTGAGGATAAGAGAGCAGCATCTTGAGGTAAACTAACCTGAAACTAAAATGTTAACATATTCTTGTCTCAAGATGGAGAAGAGTACAGAGATTCAAGGAGAAGGCCCAGTCTTAGGACTCCCACTTGTAAGACGGAAACTGGAATCTCAATGGAGACTGGCCAGCTTCCAAGCCAGGAATCAGGTAGGCAGGTCTCTGTGTCAGACTGACATGCCCTTCAGCATGAGGAGGAAACCGAGACAGTCACAGTTTTGTGGGGCGATTAGAGTCCTACAGGTCCTATACAGGGGGACAGAGCTGGGGAGAAGGTACCGGTGCGCAACCACCATAGGCCACCACAGGAGAAGCCCACACCCTCCCACTTCTACCCTTCCTCCGCGGCCGCTTTCAACCGCCTGCTCGAAAGGGGACGCCCAAGCACTCCCACTGCGCTTGCGTAGTGAGTGACAGGTCAACGCGCCGGCGCAGTGCGTCGATCACAGGCTGAGTACTGCGGTACGATCCTCGCTTCCTTAGTATTTGACCCGGGAGAAGGAAAGATGGTGCTGGATCTGGATTTGTTTCGGGTGGATAAAGGAGGGGACCCAGCACTTATCCGAGAGACGCAGGAGAAGCGCTTCAAGGACCCAGGACTAGTGGATCAGCTGGTGAAGGCAGATAGTGAGTGGCGACGATGTAAGTACCGGAACGCATGGGGTACCTTTCTGATTCTAATGAGTTTTATTTCTGATCACGTCACCGCTCCTGAGGCCACAGCTTCCACCTCTCTTCAGATCTTCTCCCAAGTTGCGGTGGTTCTGAGGCTTTTTCCCAAAAAATACACCCCAGGAGCCAGGACCTTCCCACTTTTTCCTCTCGCCCAGGCCGTGCCGGTCTCTTCCGCGCGTGCTCAATGCGGGTTGCTGCTTCTGGATCTGGGAAGGAGCGGGCACGTGCGCGTGAAAAGCTGTCAAGCTTTTTTGCCGGATGGGTAGCCGGGAAAAATCCAGGGCTGTTGTGTGTGTGTGTGTGTGTGTGTGTGGCGCGCGCGCTCCTTTGCTTTTTTCCTTGTCTTTCTAACACGTATTTTTGGTTGTCTCCATTATTTTTCTCATCTTCAGCAAGAGCGAAGTCTTCCTTTGTTTTGATAGGATCAAAGGCTTCGGCCTGAGACTGGATCAAATCTGCTACACAGGAGTTTCACTCTACCCATATTGGAAGTATTTGGGGACTTTGGAAGCTTTTAACTGGTTAAAACATTGATATTTGAGCTTTTGGGAAGGCCACTCCCTTAATCTACGGGTATTCATTTAAAAATCAAGAGAAGCCTTTTCTGCGGTGGAGCAGAAGAGGAGCGGGAGATGTTAGTGAGGCTGTTTGTGATTTGTGAAAGTTCTTTGCAAAGATATTGGGCTTGAACCTGGAACTGAACTGGGCATCTTTCATGAAGTGAAATGAAACCATAGAGCGATCAGCTGGAGTGGTCGCTGCTTGGCCGGATGTTGTCAAGGCCCATGTGATTCATTTTGTCTGATGCAATAGGTCTGCACGCAGCTGAGCCAAGTTTATGATAGCACGCTGCAAAGGCGGTCGCTGTCCAAGAGTGCAATGGGTTTGTGTTAGGAAAATCGATTCTCCTAAATTTATAAAGGTTGTGGGTGCCAAGAGGGTATTTGTTTGATTCGTATTGTGGGCTGATTTATGTTTGACTCACTATAATGTAGTTTGTTTGATTGTGAGATCTTGCATTTGAATCTGAAGTTTTGAATTGCAGTGAAATGAAATTTTGCCACATTTTATGTCTAGGAAACACCTAGAGTGGGCACCGTTTTTATTGAACTAGAAGTCAGGAGTATCAGATGATTATTATTATTTAAAATCAGTTTAGCCACTATCAGCCTCTAAATGACTTTGAATGTGCCAGCTAATTTCTTGTGCCTTTATCTGACAAGTGTATATGTGATGAGGGGGAGTTCTTTGGGGATGAGGATTGTGTTTTATGAATCTGTATTATCACCAGTACTTAACACAGCACCTGGTAAGGGGTTGATAAAGGTTTGTTGAATGCATGTATATCTTCTGTGTTCAGAACACTTTGCACTTCTTTGTGAAAAGCAGTTTATGTGGTTTATTTTCAATGCATCTATTAATTTTATCCTTTTGCACTTGACATTCCTTACTGCTATTTTGTTTCCAAAGGGAGTTTATGATTATTTCCAAGTCACTGGCTGCCCAAATGGAGCATTGGCAGATCTTTTTATCTATTTATTACTTTTATTGTGATGGAAACATACACACCAAGACATTCACCAACATAACAACTTCCACATTTACAGCTTAGGGACATTGATAACATTTTTCTTGTTGTGCCATCATTATTGCTGTCCTTTTCCAAAATATTCCACCACCATTAGCGTAAACTCAGTGCCTCACAAACAAAACTTCCCCTTTCTCCCTCTCTCCTACCTCTGGTAACCATTAATAATCTTTGGTGGAGATATATATATATATATATATACATTACAACTACACCTACCAGATTTTTACAAAGAATGCATGCATTGCATGGGCTTTTTTTGTTGTTGTTTGTCTTTTTGGGGAAACCATGCAACCCCCTCACACATTAGTTTCCTATGAGTGCTATGTACATTATCTGTGTGTTTTCTCTGTTTTTGTGGATGTGTTACACATGAACAGATAGAGTATTTGACTGCCTGTAGACTTCCAAAGTGCCACCAGGGCTCCATGTAGAACACAGGAGTTGGATAGAACACCACACTGTAGTTTACCACAATTCTTCACTTCAGGGATTAAAGCTGTAATTTCTTCTTTTTAATTTTGAGTAGTGTAATGAGGCCACATCTGGGGATACCATAAGCATTTATCTTGACTCTATTTCCAAAGCCACTAGAATTCCATTATCTTGAAATTTGCTTCCAACCACAGCAATTCTATCCTCCCCCCAAAGAGTGCTATCTTGAATGAGATCTCTCTTTGATACAAATTGAAATTCTTATTTCCTCTTAACCCCACTGCCCATGCCTTACACCAGAATATCATTGTTTACCTTTGCAGTTGGGATCCAGCTTTTCTAACAGCTTTCAGTCTCAACCCAGTCTCACTCCCAAGACCCCATTATCTCAGGGCATGTAGCTTTCTGGAATGCAAATTTAACCATTTCCGTTCCAGGCTTAAGTCTTTCAGTGGTACTCCAGAGCAGTGCTGTCCAATAGAAGTACAATGCGAGCCACGTATGTAATTGTAAATTTTCTTGTAGCCAGTTTTAAAAAGTAAAGAGAAATACATGAAACTAATTTTAGTAATATATTTTATTTAACGCAGTATATAAAAAAATGTATTTTAAATATGTAATCAATATTAAAAAAATGATTGAGCTGTTTTACTTTTTTTTTTTGGTATGTTGTTGTTGTTGGGTGCTGTTGGAGTCAGCTCTGACTCATAGCAACCCTATGTACAACAGAACGAAACACTGCCCAGTTGTGCACCATCATCACAGTCCTTCAAAATCAGTGTTTACATATCTTACATTTACAGCACCTCTCAGTTCAGACTAACCGTGTTTTAAATTCTTGACAACCGTATGTGGCTAATGGCTATCATATTAGACTGTGACACCTTAAAGCATAAAAATCCAAATTTCTTAGCATGCTTTACAAAGTTTCCCATGCCTTTTCCACCATTCTTCCGTATATGCCCTTCTGTCTTTATTCTAGACTTGTTATACTACTTGTTACACTCTTTCACACTTCGGTGAAATTTTATTGCCTCTTGTAATATTCCACCAACCCTCTTCCCTGCCCAACTGTGTTCCCATGGTACCTCATTTGTTCAGCATTCTCCACACACTGGGAGCCGTGGTGGTGCAACAGTTAAGCGCTAGCTTGGCTCTTCAAACCCACCCAGCCACTCTGCAGGAGAAAGATGATCTGCTTCTTTAAGGATTACAACCAAGAAAACCCCATGGGGCAGTTCTACTGTCATATGGAATCGCTATGAGTTAGAGTTGACTCAACAGTACCCAACAAGCCTGTATTTCCCCCATGTTACTGTGATAAGGCATTTATACTGTTTTTTTGTTTTTTTAATTTAACAAGTCTTTTTTTTTATTATTATTAAATTTGAGCATAATATGACAAAGAACAGGGAAATTGCTAAATACTTTTTTAAATTATAATTTAAAAAATTTTTTTAGTTGTGATTTGGGTGCAAATTTACAAAGCAGATTTGTTTTACTCTCAACAGTTCATGCACATTTGGTTTCATGGCCCCAATTACAAAATTTTTATCTACACTATCCCAAACCTTTTTCTTCGCTTGTTTTTTGAGATGTAATGGATACAGTATACAAATCTTACTGTACAAATTGATGAATTTTAAAAAAGATACTCATACAACCATCATCCAGATCAAGATCTATGACATTTGCAGCACCCCAGCAGGCTCCCTCAGGTCTCCTTCCTAGTCAGTAACCCCTCCAAAGATAACCGTGTTCTGACCTCTATCACCATAAATTACTTGGGCCAGATTTTGAACTTCATGTAAATGGACATATTTAGTATATGTTTTTATATATGACTTTGTCTTAAAATTATGTCTGTAAGATTCATCCACGTTGTTATGTGTAGCAGTAGTTGGTTCTTTTTTATTGCTGTGCCCTACTGCATTATGTAAATACACAAATCAGTTCCCCTGTTGATGGACATTTGGATTGTTACCAGTTTGAGGGTATTATAAATAAGCTGCTGTTAAAATTCTTATATGTGTCTTTTGCTAAATATAAACACTTATTTCTGATGAGTATATAGCCAGCGTAGTGCCTAAGGCACTTGACTGCTAACCAGAAAGCTGGCGGTTCAAACCCAGCAGCCACTCCTCGGAAGGAAGATG